AACAAAGGAGTATTATAAATTCACTATAGTTGACGTTTCTCTTGTAAACATGTGTCAATAAACTGATGAATTCAATGTCAAATTAACGTAATAAATGTTAGTATGAGAATTGAAAGGTCTAATGTTACAATATTTAATAATATAATTATATATGTACAGTAGATAATAGTACGATTATATTATGATGTATATTTTATATTGTCATGGATAATAGTAATATATAACTTTTATAACTGTCAATAGGTACAATTAGAATTAAAAATTTATTAAAAAATTTAAAAAAAAATTGAAAAAAAAAAAAGAAAAAAACGATTGAACGAAAAACGAACACAGTGTATTTTATTCAGTTACTGAAGGTACATGTTTACAAATAATATTGAAAAATTTTTTTTCTTGAAATATTTGAAATCATGGTATACTACTTACTTATGTAAAGGAGTAATTTTTGTGTTATTTTTTGTTATGATTACCTGGATTCCGTATCACCAGAGAGGAGCAAATTTCTAAACTTTATTTCTTATTCCAATACATTGTGTGGATCCATATGTTCAAGGCTTGGACACTATTATTTTATGGATTTCTGAACAGTTAAAAAAAAAAAAAATTTTCCGTGAGATAAAATGATTTGTTTTTGCTGGATATATTATTTATTTATAAATTCCTTTTTACAATAAGATACTGAAAAAAATGTTCCAATCAGATTAAATATTTAATTCCTTTTCAAACTACTTTGACTATTTTCTTGGTCCATATTGTTGTTTCTCTTAAATTTTAATGGATTGATTTGACTAGGCAAAATTTTGTGAGGTACCATTTAATAAGAGGTGACAAAAAAACTTTTTTAGTACAAATAATGCACTAAATTTTTAACAAAAGCAAAGAAAATTGTTCAAAAAATTAAAAAATCCCAAGTCTGCTTATGTCATAGTGATAACCTACGTCAAACTGTGGAATTAAAAATTTTATGGATCAAAAAAATTATTGACTAAATAAAAAATGATACAAGTTCATGAAGTTTTTGTAGCAAATTTTACATAATTTCAACTTCCATTTGTTATAGTGGTGAAACCTATGTCAAGTTGTAGAGTTCACAGTGTGTTATTTATGAAAAAAAAAAAATTTGTTGCCTGGATTAGGCAATTACAAATTCTTCTGAAAGTTTGTTTTTAATAATATATGAAGTAATTTTTTAATATTTCATTTTGTATTGTTAAAAATCATAAAAGTGCGTCACATCAATTTATTTATTATAAGAAAAAAAAAATATTCATATGATGATACACAATAAAAAGGTGAACTGAGAGCAGTACTAGTGTTTTGTTGTTATTTGCGATGTCCTAGGAAATGTAACAGTCCTATGTTTATCGTATTATTTCACGGTGTATTTTATCGACCACCACTTTTTTCGCTCTACGTACGAAACGAGTTTATACTAAGTGCATCTACTTAGCTCGTTAGGTGTCTCACTTTACCTACTAGTATATATTATAACACTACCCACCTGTACAACTACCCGCAGTTTTTCTCAAGCCACGCACGTGCATCGTTTCTTGACTACACGATGAGTTTGAAAATTAATGTATAAACTTGTGTGGATTGTTTGGAACTTCCAAAAGCTCTGGGTGAATGACTGTGCACAGCATTGTCTAGTTTTGATGCGTAGGCAGGAGCTTTTACAAATTGCACATTATCATTTTCGAGAAAAGGGAAAGTTCGGTCATTTGAAATATTTCGAAGGGATGGAACATTTCACTTCAATACTGACGTGATTCCATAAGTAATTCATGTTATTATATTTTACAACTAACTTCAATAATATTGAATTAATTTTATTAATCATCTTGTAATTGTATTCATACGATTGCTCTACTCATTTTTTTCCACGTCTGAAAAATTGTACAGCCATATTTTTTCGTTGTAACTGCTTTAACCTCATGGATGAAACTCGTGATTATCTAAACATTTTTCATTGAAGCAATCGTTTTTTTTTTCTCTTTAATAACTCTTTGAGATCTAGAATTTGACGTTTGTTTAGTCTGCATAATATTTGGACCTATAAGTAAAGTGTATGTGAATTTTTTAATAAAAAATCGCTACAACAGATACCCTTGAAATTTTTGGCTACTTCTTTGTCCATACGTATGCTGCATAGGTGATAAAATTATTTTTACGCATGAAATTCTTATATTTTATTGATACAAAAATAAAGTAACTTGGAATTTATGTCACTGATATTGCGGAAAATATCAACGTAAAATTTTTTTCATAGCATCTTCATAATTGACGAGATCCTTTATCATAGACATATCCGTATGTTTGTAATGAAATCCATTTTCGGACTACTCTTTAGCAAAAAACTCACATAAAACACATGCCAGTCTCAATAATCTTGACTTTATTGCCAAACGGCTAAAAGTGCTAAAAATGTGTAATTGGAGAAAAAAATAACAAAAATAGCCAAGGATTCTAGACAAAGATAGTTTTCTCACAAGCTTACACAATATGTCCATCTTATTTCTCTTTCTCCCTCTTGTAAGTACTCGCCGATACTCATCTCCATTAGATGTGTACCCATACACACACACGCGCGCGCGCGCGCGCGAAAAACCACCTCAGCTTCCCAGTTGCGACAGATCGGGTTTGTATATATACGTATAATGCACGTGGGTCGGTACAACTTACCGCTCTCCCATAGTTTCTGAAATGACGCAACACCGACAGCGGCGGTGGCTACACGGGGCTCGCTGTACAACGCGTGTGGCGTAATCCGCACCGGCTGTCACCGGGAAATTCTCTATGCTACGTTTTTGGGCCCCCTTGGGTACACTAAATACACTTTATTCCTCTACCCCCCAGCTCGTTAGTTTTTTTTTTTTTTTTTTTTTATCCATTACGTATATTGCTATAACTTGCCGCTTACACCGTACAGTTTGGCTCGATATTTTTAACAAAGTCGTCGCGCGTCGGCGCAAAGTATCGGTTCGAGAATCTATTAGCAGCGCGACAAACCATCCCAAGAAGTTTCATACTTTTTTAAACCAGAGGAGAGTAGCAATAAAAAAAGGTGTGCACTTTATGGATTTTCATTACCATAGAGTCAACATCGTAAACATTTCGCGACTATATGCTATGTCTTTTTTTTCCTCGATCTTCTCTTGGAAGGGATAATTTTTCTCTCGTGAAAACTTGTGGCGTTGCATCGACTCGGATGATTTTAAAGTATTTTAATCGCTGCATTATTCAGCTGATCAAGCATATGTAAATATACACACACGAGCTCGTGACGCACCGAGGAAATACCGTATCGCCGATGACTGATAATGTACGCTCGAGTGTATTTTTGTATTTTTCGATTTTCCAGCAAACAAAAATATCGATGAAAAAAAAGAAAAAAATGACCGATCGTCACGCGTACGGTATCGGCTTTGAGAAGCGAATCAGAAGAAAAACACATCTCGGACCCGAGAGCATCTCGTTTCGCAACACCGGGAAGATCAATATTTAATCTCAGCCGCGACCTATGCTCGTGAGAAAAGAGCCGCGAGGCGTTTTTTTCTCTTTGTACGCCGACAGCCGCAGAAAAAGCGCGCGCGTGTTTTCGTACGTGGTTAATACCGATTACCGATCGCGCACACGCGTCCATAATAAACGCGGCGATAATTCAACGAGGGGGAAAAAGCGTCAGCGATTTGCATTACAAATCTCTCCCTCTCTCTCTCTCTCGGCGACAGCCTTCCGAAGACAAATAGTCGCGGGAGAGGGAAGGCCGTGCGGGTTAGATGCAACAACGTGGAAAAAATGTATCATCTATATATATCGAAGAAGGCGATAAGTAAGAGCAGGGTATGTATATGTGTATATCCATTTGAATTTTTAAATGGTGAGAATCAGTGCCTCGAAATTATAAGTGCGCGACTGAGAAAGCAGCAATTGAATAATGCATATTTAAGTAGATGAGTTAAAATTTCACTACGCGAATAAAGCGAATGATAAATTTCGGGAACCAACGAGGGTGTATACAGTCATTTTGGGGTCATTCATGTACTTTATCTATAATCATACATAGGATTGTGTTGACGTTTTTTCATAATTTTTGTCACTTTAAAAAAATACGAAAGCACCTGAAAAGATGGATACTATTTGATGAAAAAAAAAAAAAAAAAAAATCATGTTTGGCTCTTTGGCTCCACTACATTACCGTCCTTTTTTAGTTAAAAATAAGTTTCACTTTTTTTAAACATTTTGTTGTGAAACGGTAATTTTTCACGCTATATCAAATTAAGAGAGTGAAGAAAGTTGAAAGTTCCCTTACCGATCTTTCAAACAGATTCAGTGGTAAAGTCATCGCAAGAACTTACTTTGTTTTTTTATCTCTTTTATAACTCTATGGTGACCAAATAAATTATTGATTATAGGAGTCTAGATTAAAAATATCCCAAAAACTGGTTGGAAATTTCCTTACCGATCTCCCGAACCGATTCAGCAGCAAAATCATTGCAAGAATCAACTTTGTTTCTTTGTTCTCTTACAACTTAATGGCAACCAGAAAAGGTCTTAATTACCGGAGTGTAAATTAAAAATATTCCAAAATCGGTTGAAAATTCCCTTACCGATCTCCCGAACCGATTCAGCAGCAAAGTTATTGCAAGAACCAACTGTGTTTCTTCGATCTCTTCCACAACTGAATGGCTGCCAATAAAGTTCCCAACCATCAACCGAAAATCGTTCTTTCTCCCGTGATAAATCACAAGAGCAATCGGTTTCCCTGAGTGCATTACAACGTACAGGCACACCGGTCGAGTTACGAAAACCGGCCCACCTTTTCCACACTAGCTCGCTTACCTCGGCAGAGTTCACCAAACGCGCTTACCCACACGAAACGCCTGCACTGCACATACACCGGACGTACACACGTCAAACTCTATAGACTCTCGCTTTAGGCACTCGGTCGCTCTCCCGCGCGCGCTTTTTTCCCGCAGCCAGTGACAGTTCGGCTTGCGCTTAGCGCGGACGCAGCTGCGTGTGCATGTACATGTACGTACTCGGGTTTCGGACTCGTTCGATCGTATCATCGTCCACAAAACTCACATCTACTTACTACGTCTAGGCTGTGATTTCATCTTTAGGTGCGCTTTTGGTGTTTTTCTTGAGGGGTCGATCCATCATTGTTGCGTTTGTCAAAGAGGGGAACTGAAGTCCCTTGCGTCGGAAACGAGATCGAAATCGCATTAGGGTTTTTAAGTAATTGCCTTTTCTCTTCATTCGACGTAAGAGCATTGGTTTATTTTTTTTTTATTTTTTTTTTTTTGTTTCACACGAGGGAGTACTTCAATCACTGTTACAGCGTATCAAGGCATCCTGTATAAGTTTGTCGGTCAACGAAATATCAACTTGTACCGCTTGTGACCGTGTAAGGTGAGAACTTCCTAATGCAATTAAATCGCCGGCGCGCAACAACAACAAAAGCGTCTCGCTTACCGAAAGCATCAAAGAATAAGCCGTGTCCTCGTTTGGCGTTTGCCATGACGTAATTTTGGTGATGGAGAGTGAACATTACGGAACACTTGTCAAATGGGCCCCGAACGAGCTTTGGTTTGAGTTGCCCAAACAACCGCGACACGTGGTCGCTGACACCAAGGGCCGCTATTATTAGCTTGCCTGTGGGTTTGGGGAACGAGTGACTCACGTGTCCGCTGCACCGGTGTGTGGATTTCATCCGTTAACGGACCGTCCAACTGCTTGAAATAGACGCGCGGGTTAGGGAGTCGTCTAACTGGATGATGTGGTGCGCTGAAAGAAGTAGAAAGGCACTCGCGCGAGAACGTGTTTTTGAGTCCCGAGTTGGAGAGTGGAAAATTTGGGGACCCTCCCGAGCGATTTGTCTCTCGATGCGGCCTTGACGAGTGAGCTACGATCTCGAGTTGTTTTTGTTTTTACTCGAGCCTCGGAGTGAAATGTTGTGTATTCGGGGTCTTTCAAGTCAGGCGATTTAAGGAAATATATACATGAGCTGACGCACAGTGGGGAAAAAATGGCTTTTTTATTTGCACAAGATTCCACCTTCGTTAAAAATCGTTACCGATTTTAAAGATTTTTTATTTTCATCCTCGTAAAGTTGTCAGAATACGGACCCTATATTACGTCGACACTCGATGTACAACCTGGTATTGTCTCAAGCTATTATGTTGATAAGAAACATTCATTATATCAAGTTTGCGTTTTTATCAATACATTAAGTATGTATAAGTTATTTCTATAATATATGTCTGTAGAATTCATTCGTACAATAGTGGTATGAACGAAATATTGCATTGTATGGCAGTAAAAATTTATTTCTTTTTTTTTTTTTTTTTATATCTATAAGTACTAAGAGACCCATGCCCTATCCCACACAATTTTTAAAAACATCTGAGATACTTTTTTTTCTATTTAGTTATCTTTTCAAACTTAAAACATTTTTAAAAATTTGGCTGTTGGGATGAAATCTAAAATCTAAAAATCTCTGTCATAAAATTGTTGCAAAAAAAAAAAAAAATCAATCAATCAATCATCTACATAATCTGGATGTAATGATACACATTTCCAAGTTTCAAGTAAAAAAAATATAAAATACTAGCTAGCAATGATGGAAGAGATTCAGCACAACATAAATCAAACAAAGAAATAAAAAAGGCACCGATCAAAAAAATCCCAGAAATTTCGCATGACAAACTCAATCAAACTACTAAATATCCCAATTGAAGCAAACTAAAAACTGAAATCAAAGTAACCGGCGATCCCCACTTTTCAGGCTTGAACCATCTCAATAATGAGCCGCAGCAACTAAGAGCCACGAAAAAAACATTCTCGCTACTCCTCCAAAAAATAAATAAAAAGCAAACATGAAGCTGGGCCACGAAGCGAGCGAGTCCCGGGCCCGCTGGCCGAGCCTGACGAGCGAACTCATGGCCGAGCTGCAAAACTGGGCGGCCGAGCACTCGCTGCCCGCGGTACCGGAAGAGCAGCTGGCGATATTCGCACATAGCTGCTACTACAATAGGGAGGCTACGCTGCGCTGCATGGAGACGTACTACAGGCTGCGCGCGAATGCGCCCGAGTTTTTTTGCACTCGCGACCCCCTGCTGGAGGACGTGCAGTCGACGCTCAAGGCATTGTAAGTTTTTTTTTTTTTTTACTTACGAGTATTTTTTGGACCTTTGACGAAGATATTTTCGTATAGCCTTGATTTAGCGTGGATAAAAAGCTTTTCGAATTTTGAAGCGTGAAGGGTATACTTGTCAAACCATTTATTTTTTCTGTCATTCAAGTAAGCTACAACAATTGCAATAAATTTCATGACAACAAAGTAAAATAACAAAAAAAAAACAAATTTCTGTGTGTTGATTTAACAGCTTGCCATGAGCAAATATAATCAAGTAATTTAATCAAACGCGGAAGGCAAGCCAAGTTTATTATTGATATCATATATGCCACAAGTATTTGTGTGATTTACTTTGGTGGGAGTATCCTTTTTTCTTTTCATATTCAATTTTTTTCGAAATACCTACCATTACCTATTAAGTACTCTTTCAGAAGTCGTCCAGAAATTTTCTTAATATATCAGTTAATAAATTTTTAGTATCAATTATCAATTTAAAATCATACAATTTTACAGAATAATTGGGGAAAAGGTAGCAATATTTGCTAAATTAATAAAAGTGTGAAACGTTAATAATACTAAAAAAATTAATCCTTGACGGAGATGTGAAACTAAAATTTCCTCTCCATCACATAATCGCTTTATCAATGGAGGCTACCGATGTATAGTAGCTCCGTCGTAGATTCTAATTAATGTAATTCTCACTTGCAACAATCAAACGTTATTGTAAAATTCACCAATTTTCCATGCTTTTGGTTTGTCTACTACGTATAAAGTATGTGATGGAAATAAATAAAAATTTCATTTCACAACAGCTGTTTTCCATTCTATCTCAATGGGCTTGTTTCTAGCATCAGGTAGTGCTAGTGTGCCCAGATAAGATTTCCATAGGAGTATACCTATATATTGAATGAAATCCATTCAATGTATAGGTATACTCCTATGTGAATCTTACCTGGGCACACTAGCGCCACCTGATGCTCGAAACAAGCCCATTAAAATATTTACGTTTATTGGAGGGTCCTTTCATTAACCTTGGGTGTATATACAATCGATCCGTGTTTAGATCTGCAATGATCCCTAATAGTATAGTCGACGGCTGACTGGCCGAGTCATCCATGGAAATGTTACACAAAGACTCCACACAAATAGGTATTTTTAAAAATTATCTTAAAAAAAATTAAAATAAAAAAATAAAAAATAGGTAATATTTTTGTTGTCTCAAAATTTAAGTATAATTACATTCTTGTCTCGAAAACTGAAAAGGCTTTTTTAAGTTTCATCGTTGATATTCATTTCCACCCGTGGTTTGATTCATTTTAAAAAAACGTGCTGGTTTTCAAAACCATCCGAATACTCATTTGACTCAATCTCACTTACGTCATAAACGATAAAACTTTTAGTAAGTGTCGTCACATATTCTGAATTTTCTCTTAGGTGTATCCACATCATTTTATCATGTCTTTAGAATAGGTACATTGTACTTTATGCAACTAAAATACCCAAGGCAATATTCGTACTCTTTCAACAACGCTAAGCTTGAATAGTAAGCATGATATTTATGTGCAAATAAAAGTTTAGTTCGAGAGAGAAAAAGTATTTTGTTCTCCTGCACAACTGGTTCACATATAGCTGGAAAACGAGACATACCATCTATGACAAGTTAACAAAAATACGGGCGAAAAAATTAACATACCCGACAAACAACATCGGTGTCGAAGTAAAAATCTTGAAAGAAAAAGAAAAAAGTGGAAGGAACGCGGAAAAACGGCGATGATTCAAATTACCAATTATCGAATTACGGGGACTTGGACAAAATTACCAATTATTTTATAAAATGGTAATTGATTAGAAATTAAAAAGGTAATTGTTATTTCTATAGGATAATTCATTATTGTTTGTATGGGCTTGTTTTTTTATTTTTTGTTATTTTTTTTATTTGCCGTTGTTATAACTCACTATACATTGTGTTTATTGATATAAATGATTTGCATTATCTGTAGACTTTGAAGCTTATTGTACATCGATAGAACTAAAACTTAAAAATAGTCTGTAAGATAAACAACAAAAGATTTGGTAACCAGACCTAACAATATTAATTTTTGTGTTTACAGATCATATTATGGCAGTGCTGCTGTCACATTTGATTCTACTGAAATGACTTTAAAATCAATTAAATTTGACAGTACAGGAGCAAATGGATATACGTGAATTTCAAGTTACAATATGTGTCATGATGGATGATAACTTCACAAAGGCATTGAAAATGTTAGTGGATTTTGTATAGATGGTCAAGTATCCTGCAGCAACGAGATTTAAATACACTTTTTATGTTTTCTGTTAAGAAATCAAAATAATGTTTAAATAATGAAACTGATTAAGAAAACTCAATTTTACGTCGAGAATGTATGAAAAAGGTAGTTTTTTACGTGTAAAAATTATTACGGCAGTGTGTATGATATATATATATATATTTTTTTTAGTTATTTTATACTTAATTAAGGTGAATCACGTAAATGACCTTGTGTGTTACTCATTAAAATTGAAATGTTAAAATTTAGTTGTCAACGATTCTATTTGTAAATTAAATCTAGAAAATGAATGGAGAAAAAGCAGATAATAATAAAATGTAAAATAAAGTTTTTCATCAAATTTTTATATCTTATATTTATGGGT